TCATTTCATAGCATTTTCTGCCTGTACCCACAAAGCACAACCCATATAATTTTCTTGTATTCAGTATGAAACTGAAGACCATGGAAGCACAATGATGTGCTCAAGTTCATGTTGTTAATGCAAATCTGCAATTAAAAATTGAATCTCATGCACAAATCTACAGTTTCTTTTTCTATATGTTAACAGTTTTATAGAGTAGTTTGTAAGTAGATGACATTTCAGAAAATTAGTTGCACTTCACATCTAAGTCAGTAAACAATTTCTCCTTGAGATAAGGAAAGTTTACTTAGATATCTATAAATACAATTAAGGAAATAAAAGTAGTTAAATTGTTGCAGGATCTGTGCATTAAAGATATATTTTAAATTATAATAAGGGTCTCATTGGCCAAGAGTGCAGTGTTGTAATCCTATAAGTAAACTAATTAGCAATTTGAATGTTTAGCTAATGTTTCTTATCTCATACATCATAAAATTATTATGTATAGAGATGTGGCTGGCAAATACTTTAAAGAATCTTGTGTGTACACACAGATGTGTGTTTTCAATAGAAAAATAGATCTATTCCTATATGGGTTAAATTATAATCAGTAAAAATTTAAGACTGAGATAAAAATATACCTATTTTATACCTTGAATTCCACATCAAAAAATATCTTTCACTAAGATTCCAAAGTTTAAAATTACCTGCATTATAGTTTTCTGAACATTTTCAATTTGATACTGAAGTGGTGAATTCAGTAATAAATATTTTTGCCATATTTATAGTGGATACATTTTTGCCCAGAGATACAGAGACAATTTTCCACTCAGTCTTGCACAAGCAATTTCTAATATGTTCTTCAGGACAGAATTTGTGAGACAGAGAGACTGTGTTTCACCCACCACCAAGCTTCCTGTGAGACTTCACTATGGTTCAGAGTTTAAGCTACCAGGTTATGTTTCCTGCAATGAGCCATATAAAACCACCTGCCAGAATGGAGAGACTCTTATTCTTTTCAAATCATCATCATCATCATCATCATCATCATCATCATCATCATCATCATCATCACTATTTTGTGAGACAGGATTTCTCTGTGTATTCCTGCCTGTCCTTGAACTTGCTCTGTAGACCAGGCTGGCCTTGAGCTCAGAGATCCACTTGCCTCTGCCTCCTGAGTGCTGGGAATAATGGCAAGTACCACAACTGAGAATCAAATAATTCTCTTCAATTTCTTAGGGGCATCTTCTGATATAAAAACATTTCATGGACATCAGAGGCTTGGATAGTCTGGATGTTATCATTCCCATCACCCAAAGTTGCCAATGCTCTGGTAAAATGCCTAGATACCCTAAGTGCTGGTCCTTCAGGGATCCAAGGCCTTGCACGTACCATCAAGCATTTCAGGCAACCTACATAGTCACCCAGGGTCCTCAAGCCCTGTGCGATCTAAAGGAGCTTGCACTAGACAGTCTTTAAAAGCTGGATGTGCCCACTCCATGGTCTCTTACCGCACAAGTTTCCGATAGGCCAGAGCACTTTCTTTCTCTCCTCTTAATAAACTCTTAAAGTGGGTTCTGTTGTGTATCTTGTGATCCATTCTCGTGCCTGGTAATATCACCAGAGACCTAGGCTAGAACCAAACACGACTGGTCAGTCTCACAGCCAAACCGTAGGCAGAGCTATGTGAATCCTGCGAAAAAGGAGGAAAGATTGTAGGAGTCAGAGGAGCTAAGGACACTACAAGAAAAAATGGAGAATAAACTAACCGGGGCTCATAGAGGTTCACAGAGACTGAACTGACAATCAGGGAGCCTGCGGGGAACTGACCTAAGTTCTCTCCATATATGTTACAGTTGTGTGGCTTGGTTTTTTTGTGGGGCTCCTAACAGTAAGAGCAGGGGCTGTCTCTTACTCTTTTACTGGCATTTGGGACCCTTTCCCTCGCACTGGGTTGCTTTCTCTAGCCTTAACAGGAGAGGCGGTGCCTCGTCTCACTACAACTTGATATACCTAGGCTGACTGATATCCATGGAAGGCAAGCCCTTTCTGAAGACAAACAGAGGAGAAAAAGTAGATTGGGGACAGAAGAGAGAGGGAGGGGAAACTGCAGTCAGGATGTAAATAATAATAATTATTTCATCAAAATATTAGGAAAATTAAAATTAATCATTACAATGGATGTGTCCAATGAAGGAAAACATCAGCATATTCTTGTAATTGTTAGCATTCAATTACCAGATATAAAATACTATAGCCATGAAAGCAATTGCTTCTGGAAAGGTCCCTTACCTGTATAATTGTCCCCTACCCCGCTGTGTGTGTTCTCTTGTGTGTGTGTGTGTGTGTGTGTGTGTGTGTGTGTATGCCATCTGGAGAGGCATAGATAATCCTATTTGTAGGTTGTTTTGTACTCTCTGGAAATGTAAAATGAAGAGAAAATTATGTAGCTCCCTGCTTAATCAGGACCTCTCAATTTCTTTGATATTCATCAATGGGTTTCAAGAAGGCACAACGATTTTATAACAATACCAAGATGCTCTTTGTTTTTTTCCCATAGTCAATGTAGAAGTGGACACAATTACTACATAGTCAATGTAGTAGTGGACAGAATAATCGGCACATTGTCCTAACTCAGGGCAGTATCACCAAACCATACTAACTCAGGGCAGTATCACCAAACCATACTAACTCAGGGCAGTATCACCAAACCATACTAACTCAGGGCAGTATCACCAAACCATACTAATTGCCTTATTCTGTGTTGTCATGTACTCCCAGCTTCCAAATGGCCAGCTTTGCTTACTTAAAAATGTCTTTGAAGAAGGAACCAAATGATTAAAAATCTGGTGGATAGGAATATTTAATTTCTTCTGTATGATATAATGGATAGTCCATATATAGCTCTTCCGTCACTTCCTAGGCTACAATGGCGTCTTCAGAAAATGAAGATGGAGATAGCTCAGTGGCTAAGAGCGCTTGCCATTCTTGCAGAGGAATGAGTTCCCTTCTAAATACCCCTGTCAAGGGGCTTACAGCCATTGTAACTCTCGTACCAGGGGATCCAAAGTCCTCTTCTGACCTTATCAGGCATCTGTGCATGTGTGTGCATGCGCATGCATCATACATCTCTCTCTCTCTCTCTCTCTCTCTCTCTCTCTCTCTCTCACACACACACACACACACACACACACACACACGAAGAAAAAAGAATATGCGTAATTTGCTAGAATGACATTTTTTTTTCCTTTAGGAAATAGCTGAAAGACAAACTGTGACTATTCAGGCTTGGATATTCACAAGCTTTTCCCACAATCAATTAGGTAAACCTGTCACTTCCATGCTGGCTTTCTTGTCAGTGATAAAATTTTAGTGTTTGTTGGAAATTAGATAATTAGAAAAAATTTATCTGCTATTGTGATTCTGACAGCTTCCCAGCAAAGTATTGTTAGATAAAACCTTCATTGTTGAGAGGAGTGGTGGCATTAAAATACGTGATTTTTGTGTTGTAATTGAAATGTATCAATATTTGGTAGTTCTGTGATACTCAACTATGATTTCAAAGGACACAAAGGGATACATGACCCAAAGATCCCTTGAAACTGTAAAACAGATCATTGCATTGAAATGAAAGAGTATGTAAAGCAAAATGCTATCTTAGTTTTCTGTTTCCCAGGGCCCTTTCTTGCTAGGCTTTATTTTCTTCATATACTTTAGTTGGAGCAAGAGTGACTGCCAGAGGAGGTGTGAGGGCTTACTTGTTCTCAGGGTACCATGTGCCGAAGAAACCTGAAAAATGCAAACAATTTTTCTCTTAATATATTTCTTTTGTTTTCTTAAATCATACTTACATTAACATTTAATGGGAATATTCCTACTTTAATATAACTTTAACTAGTCCTCAATTTTTATTTCACACACGGCACATGGTGAATACTGAAGGTTATAATCTAATATAAGTGAAAACCCTGACTTTTCTTGAGTTTAAAAAGATGCCAAAGCTGGGCAGTGGTGTGGGTGCCACACACCTTAAGTACCAGCACTCAGGATCTGTGAGTTCTAGACCAGCCTGGTCTACAGAGCAAGTTCCAGGACAGCTGAGGCTACACAGAGAAACCCTTTCTCCACAGAGAAACCCTTTCTTGACTCCCCCTCCCCTGCCCACAAATTAAAAGAAGGATTCAGAGACAGCGACAGAGATCTGCCTACCTTTACTGTGGAAGCTACAGGAGAGGCTTTGTCTTCCCTTTTATGAATGGAAGCCAATTTTTTTTTTCTAGTTCCATTCATTTGCCTGCAAATGTCGTTATGTCATTATTTTTCTTTTAAATAGCAGAGTAATGCTCTACTGTGTGAGTGTATCATATTTTCTTTATCCATTCTGCTGTTGAGAGACATTTAGGTTGTTTCCAGGTTTTTGCTATTATGAGTTAAGCATGCAGAGGCAGGGACAGCATGAGAATACGTTAGAACATTAGCACATCTCCTCAGTGCCCATGATCCTTTCCGGTGCACAAGAAGTCATTCTCTGTGAGGAACCTTAGGTCTGCTCACCTACTGTTCCAAATGGATTTATGGATAAGGTGGAGGGAGGCTGTTTACCCATGTTATGAAGGCAAGGATTGACTGAGCTTTTGCAGATATTATTAAACCACATCAAATTTCTCAAACAAACAAGAGTGAGAAGTCCCGCGAATCAAGAGAAAAAAGCAAGTTGTCGTGCTTGTCATGCTAATGGAGGGCAGAACGTAGAGAAGATATTGAAAGTGAAGCAATTTTCTAAAACTCTGCAGTGCTCTTTTTTCTGTGCAGTTAGTTTATATGAACACATTGCATTTAGAAACACTCCAGAATTTAGCAACATTCACCAGTGTTTGATCTTTGCAAACTTCTAATCCTGCACCGATGTTTTTACAATACCAAATGATATATCAAAAAATGAATTGCAGCAAAGTTTGTGTTATTTTGGACCTGAAAATGATCAAAGACAGTGAATTTTCTCAATTTTTCCTCTACAGCGTCCATGAAGGGCTGTTTTATTCCTGAAATGCTACAGAGGAGACCATTTGAATCAGTCATACGATACTGGCAAGGCATGAAAGTCAGGTAAAACCAGTATGGATGGGAAGGAGCTGGGGTGTAGTAAGAAGTCGAGAAACACCTGGGCTAGGTACTGGAGTTTTCATTTTCTAGTAGTGGTGAACAAACCATTTATGTGCCTAGATGCCCCCTGAGCACTGGGATTACAGTTATGTGCTGCCGTGTCGCTGGTCTGTGATCAGAGGACACTTGCATGAAGGATGTGCTCAGGGAACAGGGCCTTTCTGTCCCTCTGCTTCAATCCATGAAAACTAGCCCACTCTGTACTTACTGAGCCCAGAATGTTCAAGACAGTACATACGTGATTTTATAACTACAGTACGTACATACGTGATTTTATAACTACAGTACATATGTGATTTTATAACTAAACAATGAAGAATTCAGGATATCAACATGATTCATAGTATGCCTTCAAGGAAAGTATCCTCTTTTTATTGGAGATAATTAATGCAATGCATTCAGGGGCATTTTGAATTTATATATTTTTTTGTATACACTGGTCTAACAAGATTTTATTTTGCCATATCTGGCAGACATACTGTTGAGTTAATTTTATAACTGAGAAGTACCAAATTCTTTGGCAGGCCACTCTATTCCCTATCTGATTTCACATCTTTCTGGAGGGAGCATCAAGATCCTTTTAGACATAGAAGACACATAGAGCTCCCAAGCATCTAACTCCCGAGTACAAAATAACTCAGTTCAAGATTTGGATAAATATTTGTCTAGAACTTTGTATTTTGATATCTCTGTGTGCAAAAATATGAAGGCATATGTTTATTGGTCATGGAGAAATCTCATCTTAGGCAATGAGGGTTTGAGCAAAGGAAAGGTGCTTCATGGGAGAAACAGAACCATGAAGTCCAGTTCATCAGCCATGGTGTTTGAGCCTCTGAACTTTTTTTTTTATTGAAAAAAAATTCCTGTTTCCTCCCAGCCTCCCATTTCCCTCCCCCTCCTCTTGCCCCTCTCTCCCTCTCCCCACTCCTCTCCCCCTCCCTCTCCAGTCCGAAGAGCAGTCAGGGTTCCCTGCCCTGTGGAAAGTCCAGGGTCTTCTCCCCTCCATCCAGGTCTAGGAAGGTGAACATCCAAACTGGCTAGGCTCCCACAAAGCCAGAACATGAAGTAGGAACAAAACCCTGTGCCATTGTCCTTGGCTTCTCATCAGCCCTCATTGTCTGCCATGTTCAGAGAGTCCGGTTTTATCCCAGTTGAGCCTCTGAACTTTTATACAAGAAAGATGACACAGTACTGTGGTTATTGTCATTTTTCTATTTCCTGTCTGTTTTCTGGTAAGACATCCTGGATGTTAATATTTTAATAATGTTATGCTTGGGTGGAAATTAACCTTAACAGTTTTACGTGATAATTAGAAAATGTGCATCCATCTATGTAACAAGTTATCCTCAGTAAATACAATCTAGCAACACATTTTATCTTCATGTTCACTTTTAATGTGTGCTTTAAATAGAAATCCTTCCTACATATTTTCATGGAAATGAAAGGGAATTTTTTTTTGTACAAGATGGCCATGGAATAGAAAATCGTTCTTTCAGATTTTGCTGTGCCGTTGCCTGTATTTTATTGTAAGTGATGGTTCAAAGATTTCTTTTACCTTCAAGTAACGATTTTTTATTAAAAGGTAGGAAAATTGGAAAATGGAAGTGGGCATGGATGTTGTTCTCTAGGATTACTGAATGCTTTGGAATGGATTTATTTCTCAGGTGCCTGTAAGAAGTTGCCTGGGGTTGACAAATTGCTGTTTGCTGACCGCTTTTGCAGGCTTGTCCTATCCTTGTAATATTTTTGTTTTCCTTTAGCTTGAAAAGATTCTGGAGGAAGCCTCTCTCCTTTCTCTCTCCCCTGTTTTCCACAGAAAAGGACAAATTTAAAATTATTTTATATAGGAATTTCTGTAACATCCTGAAATTGCTATTTGAGATATATTGGTTTTCCCTTTTTAATCTCTGGGAAAAGATTACTTTCTCTGTATTCAATAACTTGTAGTACGTTATAGCTGTGGCCTGTTACCATTTCCCCAGACATGGGATTCAGGACGCGTTCAGCAATAATACACAGGGTAGCAGATGCTGGCCAGGAAGTCACTCTGCAGGGACCTCTGCACGTTAATAAGTGTGGGCGCTGAACCCTTGTTAGAGTGACTAAATGCAGTGCTGACCTATACCTGTGTCTCTCTGTTTCAACAAGTACAGATTGATTTTCCTGTGTCTGTTTCCTCTTTTGACTTTGGTTCTTGCTTGAAAAAACCACGTATTTCATACAATTATTTAGAGCGCTGTCTCTCTGTTTTGTGCCATTATTAAGCCTGGATAGTTACTTTCCTATAACACCTTAGCAGAATAATACGGGGAAATATGTGGAGTCCTAGGCTATCCTGCTTGATAACTATGCAGTCCTTTCTGAAATAGAATTCTGATTCTCACTGCTTTCTTTCCAAATATGTGGAAATAGCAATTTGCTTACATAATATCGCCTATGAAAAATACATTAGATAACAGTAACAAAACCTTCAAATTACTTATTATTTATAATTTCCAGTATCTATTTGCTTTACCTTGGTCTACTCCTTTAGTGTCTTTGTTCTGTCTCTGGTTTGATTCCAGGTTGCTTTTCCTAAGACAATTAAATCTAGTTGTCTCTAAAGTTCTACTTGAAACTAATCTTATTCATACATCATATTTCCTTCTCATCATGTTGCTCACTAAATTCCTTCTTCCTTCCTGCCTCCCTCCCTCCCTCCTCTCTTTGTCCTTCCCTCTCTCCCCTCCCTTCCTCACCCCTCTCTCTCTTTCTCTCTCTCTCTCCCCCTCTTTCTTTCTTCAGACATGGCCTCTCTATGTTATCTCTTGTTATCCTGGAACTCTATGTAAACCAGGCTGACCTTGAACTCACAGACGTCTACCTGCCTTTGCCCCCAACACAATGAAATTAAAGTCATGCACTGCCATCCCCAGAGGTTCTAAAATTCTAATATAATCTCTGACTTGCAATTTATTTTTCCTGGAATTTTCTGGAACTTTCTAGAATTAAGATAATTTTACTTCTATGTGCTATGTATAATGTGTTTGATCATATTGAGAGACATATCCATATGTTACACTGAATTATGAATGAAGTGATGGGAAATAGTGAACGATGTTAGATTTTAACATTAAAAATCTCTTTAAAGTTTTTCTTCTTGTTGACTTAGGTTTCTGTCCTGCCTGGCCCTGCTGTCATTCAGTCCCAAATAAACACACAGAGGTCTACATTAATCATAAACGGATTGGCTTACTAGCTCAGGATTCTTATTAACTCTTATAACTTATATCAGCCCATAATTCTTGTCTGTGTCAGCCACGTGGCTTGGTACCTTTTCAGTGAGGCAGTCACATCTTGTGTCCTCTCTGCCTGAGTGTTGTATGCAGACTGAATCTTTCCTCTTCCCAGAATTCCCATGTTCTCATGGCCCCACCTACACTTCCTGCCTGGCTACTGGCCAGCCTGCATTTTATTAAAATACAATTGACAGGGTACAGAACCATGGTCCCACACCATCTTCTTTTTCTTAGTATTAAAAATCTTGAAGAGGATGGATTGAAAGGAGAATTTCTCTATCAAATTACAACTTCTGAGAGATGCAGAAATTTTCATTTTTCATGTGTCTGGATGACGCAGGATGTAAACAGATACACACTGTCAATGGGCAGTTTGAAGTCCAGGACAGGTAACATGTGTTTGAGTTGTGAGCATTTAATTTAATTCAAGGTGGGACATCTATTTCATGAGACATCCTTCAGCAGATCACTGTTCATAATTACCATGTGTTAGGAGGTCTAAGAAGTGGGAAATAAAAAGCACAGGGAAATATTGGCAAACTATGCTATAAGCATTTAAGCAAAGACAGGCGAAGAAAATGGGAAGTAGATTTATTCAGGTAGGCAATATAGAACAATAAACAAAAGAGCTTAAGGGCGATATAAAAGTTATTCATAGTAAAGTTGAGTGGGGCCGAAGGTGAGGGAAAGTTCACACTGCAAGCCAAGAACCAGTAGCAAGCGGAATGATTGCTTACACTGTGTGTGATCCGTCACGAGCAGAGTTAAAGTGCCGTTGTCGTTCTTGAACTTGCCTGTTGTGTTTTATCTGGTGATGAATTACACCACATTACTTCCAAAGTAGCCCAGGAAGTGTCGGGGAGCCTCTTTTCTCTAGTTATTTAGAAAGATGAGCAACTCTGAATGTTCTAAAACAAATGATGCTTTTAATTCCAAGATTTTAATTCCTTGGATTGTTATCACAAGGTAGAGGTGACTTATTTGTTTAATTAAAAAGACTGATGTTCATGAGAAAATACAAAGAAAATGCCTAACAGTGTAAAGCAAAAGCCAATGCCAGAACCTGAGTTTACATGAGTGAGTTATCTTTGTACAGATTATTAAATGAAATTCATCTCTCATATGCCATTTAAGGGAGGTAGTTCAAAACACTTTATATGTTTTGTGGAACTTGCACATTACATGGTATTTATCTGAATGTTTAGTGAAGTAATGTTTGTTCAAATAATTTGTCAACAGCTTGACTTTAGTTTTTTTAGCACTAAACCCTTCTTTAACACAAGTTGTTAATTTCTTATAAAAATGTTCAGTGAATCATGTCAAAGTAATTAAGAACACTGAAGAAATTAACTCAATTTCTTTTCTTTATATTTAAAAAGTTAGAAACGTTATGTCTTGAGGTATAAACAGTAATATTAATTTTTTTCTTATAATTTAAGTTTTTTATTTTACATACCAACCCAGTTCCCCCTCCCTCCCCTCCTCCCAATTCCCCTGCTCCCCCCCCCCATACCAACCCCATCCACTCCTCAGAGGGGATAGAGCCTCCCCTGGCATGCTATATTGAGGCAGGGCCAAGCCCCTCAACCCTGTAATCAAGGATGAACAAGGCCTCCCACCCTAGGAATTGGGCTCCCAAAAGTCAGTTAATGCATTCAGGATAAG